AATTGAAATGTTTAGAACTGAATTTGCACAATTAAGATAGGTTTAAGACTTTTTAAATACTTTTGCCATAGATTTTCTTACATTGACGGTGATTTTACCCGAACTGGTTAAATGTTCCAGAAAAGTACAGGAACGGCTATTTTACGATTTAATGTCATTGCTCGAATATAGGAATGATATAGATCATAGCCGGATGTGGTAAAAGAGGATTAGTATATGTGGAGAAGCAATTGGCATCAGTACCGCACCTATGACTAGAAATCGATACCGGCCACGTCCAATACATGGGGATCGATTCGCAACATGGTGAACGCGTCCAACACTTGGGGGAATGCGAGAAAACAAGCCTTAGAAGGCTCATCACTCTAAAAGGATGTCTTAAGACAAAAGAAGGACGATGCCGGTCTTAGTCGATTCCATGCTAGCCCGATAATCACGTAGAAGGCCGATGCCAATTCCGAAGATTAAGGAGCAGGGTAACAATCAAACTTGTCCAACAAGCAATAAGGAATGCGCTAATCACCCATTGCATGACGAGCAAGGATCGAAAAGGCATAAATGCAAGCTCCGGGCTAGGAGATCACATGCACACTCAACCAAATCGCAAGATCGCACCTATTGTATCCAAGTTTTCGTTCCTTTTCATTTGTCTTGCCAAAACCTTGCTCTCGATTTGAGCTCTCGTGTCGTTGGCTTTTCGCTCCGAGTCAACCCTAAACTTAGTTCCCGCACCTTTCTAAACAATAATCGCCCGACCAACGGTTTAAAGATCACGCGTTTTTCGTATTTGCCAATTTCAATCCTTCCTTACGAGGGCTAGCATCAATTTTGCTAATTTAGGGGGGGGGGGGGGAAACACTCGGTATATCTATTCTTCCAATTTTTATTGTATGGTTAGAAAATACCTAAACGGTACGTGGCTTCCCAAATGAAAAGTTAGGTCACGAGCCTATTTATTGTAACATTTATTATGTACGCGCGGGTATATTAGGTAAGATACTTTCCGTGAATGGGCATTGAATACGATGGTTCACCATCGCATTGACAGATAGTTAGGTCTCCAGGAATCTAAGACAGATCACAAGCATCGGCCTGTCTCTTTCTTACTATCAGATACAAAATAATAATAAAGTAAATAAATTAAAAATATTTTGACCAAAAATATTTAAATAAATAAAAATATAAGTAGGATTGTGTTTGGGTATGATCCATTTTTTCATTATGTCGGAAAATGTAATTTAAAACATACGAGAGAGAACCACGTTTGCAAGACGTTCGCGAGAGAAAAAGAACGTGAATTTTTCCTTTTCTAAATTACTTTTTTTGTATTGTCAATAGTATATGTCTAACTATTTTTATTATGAACGATAAAAAATTATTTATCAATTCATTTTTAGAAGTGATTCGAGATATTATTTTTCGGAAAATGTTTGTTTTACGAAAAATGAATGATTTTGAAAATATTTTCCTATAAAACAATCGTTTATATCGCTTACAAAAAATGAATGAACGAAAAATATTTTCATCGTTCACGAAAATATTTAAACATAAATTATTATCGATAATGAAAATATTTTCCATTAACTAATTATTTCAAACGATACAAGCGATTATTTTTGGGAAAATATTTTTCAAAATCATTCATTTTACGCAAAAGAAACGGAGTCTAAGATTAAAATTACACATCGCTTCAAAATTAGGTCAAGCATGGATTAAATTATATATTCATGCTTTTAATTTAAGGAATTTTGACGACCAACTACTCCATTGTAGACCGGCAAAGTTTTTTTTTAATTAAATAAATAAAAGATTAGTACGGACTTTCTTTTGACTTGGAACTTTAGTAGTCAATGATGAGCATCGCTTGGGTGGAACCTTCTAAGTCCGCATCGGGAGGCGATGCAGTTTTAAGAGGTATTAATACAAGTCTACATATGTTGGTATTAATTAATATTTCCATCCTTGATATGTCTATTAAAGAGCTTTCGAAAGTATAAGATATAGGTGGAAAAAGATTTTGTTTGTATTTATCATTCCATCATAGTATGAAATTTACGGGAACTGTTTTGTCCCGTCATATAAAAAACATTGAAAAACTGTAAAAATGCAGTCTTAAAACCTGTTGAGTAAGAAATGCAAATAGGTCCTCTCGGTCAAGTCTTGCATGAAATTATTGACAGGGAGGCCCGATCACTGTTTGTTGTCTTATATGTCACGACCATCGATTTGGCTGAGAGGGGCAATCAATGGCCCGTTACGAAATGTTCGGTTTAAGTCATAATTACTCGCACCACACGTGGCTCGAGGGTCCGAGATTGGTGAACTCGTGACAGCAACTCCTGTTAAGATGGTAGTAGCCAAGAAGTCTATTCACACGAGTTACATGCAGTTAAGCAACGCAGCACGTGCCGTTCAAAAGTTCACTCACAACATAATTTGAACTCGTGATCTTGCGGAAGACAGGCAAGCCTCTTTAACACTGGGCCGACCACTCGACCGTATAAGTTAGAATACAGCCTTAGGTATTCGATCCCGACTCCATACCCACCCCCGTCCCATCTTCCGACCTAAGCATAGATGACTATATTATACGATAAACGCTCGACATGTTCAATTTTAAATGAAACCCCCAAATCTGAACGTTAGGATCGAATGCCCAAAGATGAGGAAAATCTAACAACAAAATCGACCAAATCAAACATTTCAATCAAAGTAGTCAAAAGAGGGTTACCGTTGAAAAGCGCGCCTCCTCTTCCTTTATCTCAAAAGATCGTTTACCCACCAAGGCCCCCCCGAAGAAAAAAAAAACAGGAAAAGAAAAAAAAGGAAAAAAAGGGCACAATTCGAAGGCTCCCCCCGACCGAGCCTCCGAAATTCCACGTCACCGCCCACGAAGGGGGGGCGGTTTGCGCACACGTGGCGGGGAGGACGCGAAAGGGCGTGCCACGTCGGCGCAAAGGGACACCTTTAGTCATTTTCAGGCGGATCCACCGCCGAATCGAATCCCGGTTAGCTCCGGATTGTCTGCCCATTTTCGCCTGACTCGGTCAGAGCGCCCTTTTTGTGGCCATCATTCGCCGGTGGCGTCACGGCCTCCTACCTCAAAAAATATCAAATTTTAGCTTTTGTCACAATTTGACCTTTTATCTCGTAAAGGACCTCCAACTTCAAGTCATATCCTAATTTTATTCTAAATTTTTTTTATTCCGTAAAAAACTCCCGACTTTAGGTTATGTTCTAATTGTACCTTAAAATTTTTTCATATCATAAAAAAAGCCTCAACTTTAGGTCCGATACCAATTCTGTCAAATCCCAGCTTAAGGTTCAGTTTCAATTTTACTATAAATTTTTTTTGTCTCATAAAAAATTATCAACTTTTACTTGACTTCCAAATCTGCTGTCCATTAACCCTCCGTCAAAATTGCCCTCGGTGGCTTTGCGCTCGTCCATTTCTCGTGCTTAGGAACGTACCGTAGCTCGCACTCGGAACGCTTGAATAACTTGGGCTCGGGAGTTTTCCGTCTCTCGGCTGTCAAAAATAAATTTTGGACAGAGAGTTAATGAGGGCAGATTTATGACTCAACTAAAAGTTTGTGGTTTTCTATGATACTATAACAATTTTAGGATAAAATTGGGACAAGACTCAAAGTTGGGGCTTTTTCATGAGACAAAAAAAATTGTTTTCGGTAAAATAGGGACTGAATTAAATTTAAAGATTTTTTACGAGACAAATGATAAAATTGGGATAAAAAATTAAAGCTGGAGGATTTTTTGTTCAGGGTATTATAAGGGCGCGGGGTCGGAGGGCAAAAGCGTCATTTCGTCGGCCCGTTCCCTCCCTTTTAGCTTTTAGCCCTCGCGCGCTCCGCGTCGGCGGCAGGGGGGGGGGGGGTCCCGGATCCCCTGCGCGCGGTTCCCACGGCAATTTCCGTGCACCCGCGTTTCCCAACGATCGGTTTTCACCTTCACTATTATGCCGACAGAGTCAACGGGGCAGGTATGCGTGTACGGTCAAAGCCCTCACGAGAGCCATGAATTTTTATGTTTTAGGATGCTTCGGATTAATTTATTTATCTGGGCAATTATGTTTACTCATTTGTCAAATAGTATATTGGTATGTCGTTGCAGCTACGTATTGTTTGGTGGATTTTTCGTTGTACCGAGAGATCAACCATCGTAGTGAATTATTGTTCCGTTGATGACATTAAGGAGAAGTGCCTAAGAAAATGAGAAATCATATCCTAAGAGAACAAATTCGTTCGAGCTTGGATAATTGCTCGGCGTGCGCGCCGCGATGGGATTAGTCCGGTGGCTGAGGAGGTCGGCATGCTCGATTATCAACCGGAAAATTAAGCATTCCTAGAAGCATTGGAAAAAGATCGGATATGAATGTTCGATGTGCCGGGTAGATCTGACGATCGCTTTTTAATCACGAACTGTCGCTTGAAAGAGTTGTGATGATTTTGGGTCAACTCTTTTGTTGCTCAGTGAGCCCGCCGTGGTGGATTTTCGAGGCCGTGATTTTTCTTCGAGCTAGTTGAAAGAGATTTGTGGTCCTCATTGGGCGTTCTCATGCGCCAACTGAAACTTTCCAAACAACATGTGTATGCTCGGTTTAATTCATGTCGGCCGACATAAATGACTCCGGATCTGTAATGCCTACCACAGCAACACGCATCGAACCACACCAAACACAATCGGATCTGAACCCCTAGGCTTCACGAACAAATGGCCCAGCACACAACCAAAGTATTTACCAAGGCGAATGAAAAGATGCGCGTGCTTTTGTGCAAGAAACCAAAACTCTAGAAGCCAAAAAGGAAAGGAAAGGAAAGGAAGAGGGCAAGGAACCCACCTGAAAAGCTTCATGCTTTGCTTCCCAAACTACAATCCAAAAACCTTCCCTTTCTCTGTTTGCTTAACATTATTTTTCATCTTTTCCTTCCCCTTTGAAATTTTTGTTTCTATTTTCTTGGTTCCCTTTTCTCGCCGACACACACTCACATATGCACTCCTCCTCTCGAACACCTCTCTCTCTCTCTCTCTCTCTCTCTCTTCATTGCTGTAATAAGCTTCGAATCTCTCCATCTCATTCTCTCTCTCTCCCTCTGTCATTTTCCTTAATGGCGATGTGTCTGGCCGCTCCTTATGATCTCCACTTCAACCCCACCAGCTCCTCCTTCTCCTCCTCCTCCATCGTTTCGTTCCTCTGCTTCGTTAAAGTTTGAAGCTTTTTTTGTGCCTCGTGCATCTTTGTGATGAGACAATAGGCGAGAACCTCCGCAATGGCTGATCCAAGTGCAGGTTTTTCCTCGTTTGCTGTTCATTTCCGAACTGGGTTTTTGGTTCTTGCTGTGATCGCTGCTCTACGCGGGGCGCGGGGGGCTACTGATTCTAATGATGGTAAGATATGTTGGACTCTTTTTCTTTAATGTGTTTGTTCTCTCCTTGTATTGCTCTTTGATCTTTAGCTTCTGATCAAACTTTCTTGTCTCTCTTTCTCTGAGTTTTCTTTATGGGTTGGTTTTTGGGAGTTTGATCGGATTGATAACCTTTAAAGCTACCAACTTTTGGATTGGGGATCTTGGTTTGAGTGAGCTTCAGTCCAAGAATGAGCTTTTGACTCTGTGGGACTGGGGATTTACCTAGCTTAGCTCACCTTCATAATATAATTCCTTTGTTTGGAGAAACTTAGCCAAAATGTTTCATTCCCCCCTTCCCCCCATTTTACATAATTGAGCTAAACCTGTTGACAATAAAGTAAATGATTTGTGTGTTTATTGGGCCAAAAATATTGTAATGCACCTCTCATGGAGGGATTGGGGCATCATCTGCATGAAGCTCAGCTCCAAATGAGCGGAAAAAGGTGGAGTTTCGCCCGTTATGATGATGCTTTTGGGGTCTGAACTTTTTATGTTCTTGTTCCATGGCAGTTCAAGCTCTTCAGACCTTGTACACTTCATTGAATAGTTCTTCCCAGTTAACCAACTGGAAAAGCAGTGGCGGCGATCCCTGCGCAGAGTCATGGAAAGGGGTAACTTGTCAGGGCTCTGCTGTAGTCTCCATGTATGTATGTCTTGCAAAGTTAAGTCCTGGGATGTTTGATTGTTTAAGTATGAAATTCCGCTGATAGGTCTTTTATTTTGTGTTGAACAGTGAGTTGTCTGGCTTGGGACTCGGTGGGACAATGGGATACTTACTCGCAAACCTTATGTCATTGAAGAAATTGTGAGATGACTCTGATGATCTCTCTTTCCTTCATCCCTTGTTATAGTAATTTTAGCTTTCTTGAAACCGCGCTTACCTCTCTGTTAATCTTGTGTTCGTCAGCGATTTGAGTAACAACAACATTCATGATGGAATCCCTTATCAACTACCACCAAATCTCACAAGCTTGTAAGAATTGAGCATCGAGTTATTGGTTTCTCCTACGTCACAAAATCACAGTTGTCATGTATTCTACTGTTGTCTAATGTAATGATTGGATTAACCACATTGCAGAAATCTTGCTGGCAATAACTTTAGTGGGAATCTTCCTTATTCCATCAGCAGCATGATTAATCTTAATTATATGTGAGTAACTTGCTTGAGTCGCTTCCTCGCGTTCGGGTTGTTCTCGTAATGTAGAGTTCATTTGCAGCATCTGTGCCTTCTAATTCATAATGTAAAATTGATGCTTCTAGGAACTTTAGCCGCAATTCTCTATCCCTATCGATCGGGGACATTTTTGCCAATCTTGCCAACCTCACTACAGCGTAAGTAAATATTTTAAGAAGCATGGACTGCTATTATTTTCCTTTTTTCAATTTTTTTTTTTGCGTACAACATCGTTTTTGTTGATAATTTGAATTTTATGGAAATTTCTATATAGAAAGTCTTGCTACTATTTGACATCGCCTCATGATCCTTAGGCAGTTATCTAAACGGTGGTCCAACCATGTTGATCTGATCTTTGATGTTCCATCGTCATTTAAAGTCGATTGGTTTTAGTCCTCTTTAATGCCAAAAGTCTTAGATTAAGCTAACTGATATATTGCCGATGGATCGCTCCTCGTTTGTGGATTGTCTTTCATATTTACCGAAACAATGCATTGCCATATTTCCTTGTAGGGATCTCTCTTATAACAACTTCTCTGGGGATCTTCCTACTTCCTTCAGCTCATTGACAAATCTTTCTTCGCTGTGAGTGCTTAGATATTCCATATACGTCTCTTTGTTTTTTTTGTAAATTTTGAATGGTTGATATTCTTTATTCAATTGATTTACCTCCTCATACAAACTATGTGCTGCAGTTACATGCAAAATAATCAATTGACCGGCTCGCTTAATGTTCTTGTGGGATTACCATTGACTACCCTGTGAGTCCCATTTCTTATGCAGCAATGTTCTATCATCTGTTGCTGTGTACTAAGATTTCTCTATTTATGGCAGAAATGTCGCCAACAATCATTTTAGTGGATGGATACCTCAAGAGCTTAGTTCACTACAGACATTTATGTAAGCTACTTTACATGTTTGCATCGTCTCTGATATTCCAAAGCTGCATATTGTGATTCAGCTTCTGCGGAAAATTTGATTTTGCTCTTCAAAATGAAACAGATATGATGGAAACTCTTTTGCCAACGGTCCTGCACCTCCTCCACCCCCCTTTACTGCACCTCCCCCTGCAAGGTCACGAAACAATCGAACTCGTTCTGGATCAGGCACAAGCACACCAGATGCGTCTGTTGGCCAGACATCAGGTTCAAGTAAAGGACTATCAACTGCAGCTATTGTTGGCATTATTGCGGGATCTGTTCTGTTGCTCTTGGTTCTCCTACTTGCTATTTATTGCTGCTGTCGGAAATGCAACAAGAAAGGGAGTGGTGCAAGAGCATCCACCAGGGGAAGTCAATCTGTCAAGAGTAATGGTGTGCTTCATTTCTTGTTTTTTCTTAATTGCCTTTGTTTACTTTGGAGATGTTATCAAATGTCCCTTGCATTAAGTGTATCAAATCAAACGACGTAATTACTTCCCAGGGTAATTGATATAGACCTGTGCTTATTAACTAGCGGCCAGTAAATAACCATCAATCTTTTATTTCACATGGAACCATCTCCGCTTAAACTTTGGTGCTGAAATATGGTGAGATAGTGTTCAGACCACTTTTATAATTAATATTGCATTCTTGTTGCAGTAAATCCTGAGATGCAAGAGCAGAGGGTTATAACCACTGCTGCTGTTATAGACCTGAAACCTCCTCCTGCGGATGTATTGGTGGCTGAAAGGGTTCCCTCGAAGAATGGTTCCATAAGGAGAATTAAGTCACCTATAACTGCTACATCGTATACTGTTGCTACCCTCCAAACTGCAACAAATAGCTTTGGTCAAGAAAATCTCATAGGTGAAGGTTCCCTTGGTCGGGTTTACAGGGCAGACTTTCCCAATGGGAAGGTAAGCCTATGTTTATATTAACGTCTTCATGTCCAGTTATCTTTGGCAGTTGAAAGCTAGTTAACTCTTTAATGCTCTTTCTTTGTCAAAGGGTTGTTCTTCAGTGTTGATCGACACAAATTGATCTGGCTAAATATCTGATCTATTAAATGGGCAAACTCATCATACTCTTCTTTCCCCCTCTGACTGTAGATAATGGCTGTGAAGAAGATCGACAACGCAGCACTGTCATTACAGGAAGAAGATGACTTTCTTGAAGCTGTCTCCAATATGTCACGCTTAAGGCATCCGAACATTGTTACATTGGCTGGATACTGTGTTGAGCATGGGCAACGTCTTCTGGTTTATGAATATGTAGGGAATGGGAATTTGCATGATCTGCTGCATTTTGCTGAAGATAGGAGCAAAACACTGAACTGGAATGCACGTGTTCGAGTAGCATTGGGGACTGCTCGGGCCCTTGAGTATGTTATATGCTTACGATGTCTCAACTCTGTGCTTGTTCTGGCCACTGCTTGAATGTGATCCTATGCATCACTTCACATGTGACAAGTGTTTTCAGTCGGGCAAGTCTACACCCTTGGTATGCTAACGCTTAAACGGTTTTTCTTTGTTCTATCAGGTACTTGCATGAAGTGTGCTTGCCCTCAATTGTCCATAGAAACTTCAAATCAGCTAATATTTTGCTCGATGAAGAGCTTAATCCCCATTTGTCAGATTGTGGTTTAGCTGCTTTGACACCAAACACTGAGAGACAGGTAAACTAGTTTGAACTAAGTTTTGCTGGTTGATGAACAATGACTCATTTCTTTTATTGTTCGTCTCTCCAATTTAGTAGCATGTTGAATTAGCCAGTGGCCCAATAGTGGCTTATGTATTGGCTTGTAATTTCGTCCTTTGCATACATTTAGCAGGTCTCTGCTCAGATGGTTGGTCAATTTGGTTACAGCGCTCCTGAATTTGCTTTGTCTGGAGTATACACTGTTAAAAGTGATGTATACAGTTTTGGAGTTGTAATGTTGGAGCTCTTGACTGGTCGGAAGCCACTCGATAGGTATACCTACTAAATATGATCTCGTAATGTTTAGCCAACACGTGTTATCTATGTCTACTGATGAAATATCTGTTTGCTTTTGCACCTTCAGTTCAAGGGTCAGATCAGAACAATCACTTGTTAGATGGGCTACCCCTCAGTTGCATGATATAGATGCCTTGGCCAAAATGGTTGACCCTGCTTTAAATGGCATGTATCCTGCAAAGTCCCTTTCACGTTTTGCCGACATTATTGCACTCTGTGTTCAGGTAAATTTCATTCCACCGGTAACTCATGCTAATATGTGCTCACGGGTTTGCCATAAGTCTGCGAGTGGGAAACCAGCTTGACTTTGTTCCTTCTGTCGATTTGATTGGAAGTTATGTCTTGAGACCATCTAAAGAATCAAACTGGCGATCCGAGCCTTTTAAGCACATTCCCTGCTTAGAACAAACTTAGGCAACATAGTATCTTTATTTAGAAGTTCATTATACTGATGAAACAATTCTCATAATTAATGCCGAGAGAGAATAACGGTAGCACCAGCCCCATCAACCAGATCAATTGGAGTATACTAAGAAGGTTACCTAGCAAAAGCTACCCCGCATCTTTGCTAGATGACTATCTGTTAAATTTTTTCCATTTATCAAGGTGTTTGTGGAAGTATCCTGTTTTCATTCATATATGAGCTCTTGCTGCTCATTTACTTGACATTTGATGCTCATATAAGTATTAGTTAGACTGCCAACTATCTTGTGGGGCAGAAGTTTCTGTCAACATCATGCTACCAGTATGATCGGTTTTTCTCTGTCTCATCATCCCTCTGATCTAAAACATTTTGGGTGTTAAAATGATGTTTATGATGCGAAAGTGAACCATCCCTTTTGATCTCCCCGTGATCCAATTTAGCTTTAAGGTTGTTTTGGAAAGCTGGTGGTTTCTTCCCCTCTCACCAGAAGCTTGACTCAATAAATGATACTCGTCTTATTCAACCCTATCAATCTGTATAATCACAAGTATTTCCCCATCATGCAGCCTGAGCCTGAGTTTCGCCCTCCGATGTCTGAAGTCGTGCAACAATTGGTTCGGTTGGTGCAAAGGGCAGGCGTTTCCAAGAGGCGTTCCAGCGATGAAATGGGTTTTGCGTACAGGACACCAGATCACGAGGCAATCGACATGTCATTTTAAGCTGTCTCGGCCACCCCCGAAGTTTCATCCGATGCTTGCCGTTTTGTATAGAATTTGCAACAGTCAGTTGATGACTAAGATCCACAGATAAAACACGAGACCTTCCCGGAGAGATGGTGTAATTATGAAGCTTGTATTATCACTTCACATTTAGGACCGTACAAAGCTGAAAGTTCGACCTAGTATTCCCACTTTGCTTAGCCCGAGTATTGCTTCGATGTACATCTTCATGCCTGGTTTAGGCCTTAGTTGCTTAATCTCCAGGCAAAAAATAAGCTTTGTTCGATTCAAGTAAATCAAAGAGACAAGGATTTGCCACAGAAAATTCTCCATTATTTTTACTCACATGTAGGGTGCATTGATCTAACTCTTACATCTTTTGAATCATGCACTACTCAGACACGAAATCAGCCGTCCGGCTGAACTCTTACTGAAAAAGTAATGGGCACCTCCAACTGCATCTGCCCACTTGGATCCTCAGGTCCTGTCAGGACAACTTCGCCATGGCGAAACTCGCCAATCTCAATCGATGCTTGTGTAACTCTAATTTCCATATCAAGATCTTGAACTCCCCGAGGATCTAACGTGAACCAAGGTGGGTTCACGCTTATTGCCGTTCCATTCGGTGGTCGCATCGAGACCGTAAACGTTAGCTGCCTGGCACTCACGTTCTTCACCCTCCTACGCACTGTTCGAACTCTGGCAAGTGCGGATATTGTTACCGAGGGAAGGTTCAAATCAGATGGGTAGGCGAACGAGCCCGCGCAAGATTCTCCGGTGGCTGCTTTCACCGTCAACGGGTCCATTTTAGGTAAAGAGCACAGGAACTTGATGTAGTCTTCATAATCTGCTTCATCACCAAAATGGTTACGCATTGAACCACGGAAGCGAATGTAGAAACTAGCAAGTTAACCATTGGGTGCATATCTTAGATTCGAACAACAAAGATAAAATGCGAATGGAGACCCAAAGTAGAAACATTTTGGTTTGGTTTGGATCAGTTTTAACTTGAACCAAATTAAGTTCAGTCTGGAAAAGATGTCGGCTCAAATTTCTTGGGTCTGTCCCCAGTTGGAACGAAATCATGTACGACTTTCCTCAATGAGGCCACCCTAAGGATGCTACCTGTGGAATATAACATTACCTGAAGGGAAGACGAGGCCGGGATTAAGGGCAGAGGTAGGATTGAGAAGACCTGAGCCGATATCAAAAGGCGTGGCGGGACTGAGGCTGCTGATATCCGAACCTTCGGTCATTATAAGGTCTCCATAGTTGTCGTGCTTGGTGGCGGTCGTCAACATCGCTGATGCGATCATGGAAGGTGTCCATGATGGATTGACTTGCTTGATGAGTGCCGCTGCTCCGACAACATGGGGCGTCGCCATGCTTGTCCCGGACAGCAATGCAAAACTTTGTCCTGCAATTGAAAGAGAGGAAATCTCTTTAACTCGAACTCGATATGCGAGCACGAAACGACAGTGTCATGTGTTCTGTACTGTAACTCACCGACGAGAATAGGTTCGGAGGCGCTCATAGGGCTCCATGCAGCCCACACTTGGTGACCAGGGGCGAGAATATCTGGCTTCAACACGTCAATAGGAGTCTTCTTGACATCAATATAATCCGGTCCTCTAGAAGAGAATCTGCTCACAGTCGGTGCTCTCCCACCAAATGAAGCCACTCTTCCTTCCCCAATGGCAGCCGTCGCGCCAAATCTGGTCGATGCTCCTCCTTGACCTCTCCCCGTCTCTTGCTCATAGTACTGTGACAGGATCTGCACAAAAGCATTTGGCAGCTTAGAAAGAACCGAATGTAAAGCGACGACATAGACATCGCAGACTCGATACCATTGATGACCAAGTATAGACAATGATTGACCTGTGCATCGGCAACTCTCGGGATCATTATCCCAGGAACAGAAAAGGGAATCGGTTCGGCGATGAAGTTGCCGTACGCCGGGTTCGCGACGAGAGCGAAACCCGCGAATCCGAGAGATCTTGCCGTGTTGAGGATCGCAGTGAGGGAGGAGGTCTGGTTGAAGAAGCCAGCAGAGAAAGTGCAGATGACTATGCTGCCTAGCACTAAAGCAGGGTCCAAGGCTTGTGGGTATTGACACTCCTCGGTGTACGGTGGTGTTCTGGGGAAAACCCCATATGGGAAGATTGCATCCTTGGCTAATACAAGCTTGTACCGAATCGCGCCGTTTCCTAGAGTTGGTCCTAATTCATGAAACAACTCAATGTCAACGACTATGATATCTTCCAGGCAATGTTAGAGCAAGAACGTCAACAAAAGTCGTTGAAGAATGGTTGAAGGATGAACCTGAAAGAACAGAAAGATCGAGTGGGACTCCTCCAAGGACATTGAGTAGACAGATTGATGTACCATACTCTACTCACACCCTATTTTTAGGTCGCATGCATTTCCATTCGCGTCACAACTAATTCAGTAAATTGTGCATCCACGTTGAACCACCTTTGATTCCCTAATGGACTTACTGTAATTATACCGGGTTCGTATGAGCCCAGATCACCATGACTTTTTTCATCACACGGGCCCGATATGTGTCCAACCCAATCGAATGATCATGAGTGTGCTGGGCTCATATGAACTCAATGCACCAAATGATAACTCATCCTATCTTATTTTCATACGAGTAATGTTTTTTTTTGTATGCCAAGTGTATTCTTAGACTTTGGAACTCCTCTAAGAAGAGCTTGGCGGGCCCCTAGTGAGCCCCCATCCCCCCTATCCGTAGGAGGGGAGTTTTGAACTCCCCACCTCCCGTTCCCATGCCCTAGTGATTTCATATGCATAAATTTAATTCATAATAGTCAATTACAGTTAACTGTATCAGCTCCTTCATGTTTGGAGCCAAACCTTTTCCATTCGTCTCGCACACGAACCAGCTATTACGAAAACAGAGAGAGAGAGAGAGAGAGGACCTGACAAGCCAACCCCCGCGATTCTTTGGCCACTGCCGAGGAGGAGAGAGGCAGGGTAGGTCCGGTCGGTGGAGGCGGCGGCGACGCCCACGGTCCAGGGGCCGTAGGACAAGACTGTGGAGGGGGAGGGTCCGTTGTTGCCCACTGCCTGCGCCACAAACACGCCGGCTCTTCTCGCGAACAGCATCGCCATGTCAAACACGCTCAGCAACGTGGGTGTATCCTCTGGCGCTTCATCTGGCCCTACCGATAGTGACAGCATATCCACTCCATCATGCACTGCCTGTTCCATCCATTTTGATTGTGCCCAATCATGAGCCTAACTGTGTGACATAACGATATAATACATCTAATTTCTAGTGTGATGACTTGATTTAAAAGATCTCAGTTCAGATTATCGATCCAGGTTGTTTATGATTCATCTTACCTAGATTAATTCTTGCCGGTAACCTTATTACCGGTAAATTTGATTGCATTCGGTATACCAATGTATTCTCAAATCAATAATTCTTGACAAACGACATCTTTTCCATACAAACTGCTAATTATGTGAATACCCTTTTGTACGTATACCTCGTGCAAAAGAGAATCGCGTCACATTAAGAGCACAGCACCCATAAAACGATAATAAGTGTTAAATGAAATCAAGAGAGAAATGAGCTTACTTGGTCGATTGCTGCAACTACATCGGTCAACGTTCCCACGGTGGGGTATACAGCTTTATAGACGGCTATTCTGTAGTAACATATCATTGAAAAAGAAACTTATCTTGGAACAATGCTAAGTGTACTAAAACCGGTCTATCAAATTGATTTACAAAGTGACGGTGAACTGCAAATTTATATTTGAAATACAGGTGGGGCATGTCCAACAATTCATAAAAATCTATTACTTATATAATTTAATCCCGAGTTTTAACAAATCCGATCGCTCGCACCGGGTTTCATAAGGTCCGAAATGTGTTTCCATAAGTCCGTTGAAACGAGGGGCGGGCCAACCGGGCCCGCGATCTAAGTCTACCTTAAGAGTTGATTACTTAATTAAACAAACTACTACCTAGGTCGCATTAATCATAAGTTCACATGGAAAACCTAGCAATGGAAGTTGTGAACATTGGCCCCATCATCACATGGATATATACATACCTAGCTCCAGGCGCCACCCCACTGGCCCATCCGTACAACCCATTAGCGACGACCGCAACATCTGGATTTCCCGCCGCTATTGCCGCCACGTGGCTTCATGGTTAGAGAGAGAGAGAGAGAGAGAGAGAGAGAGAGAGAGAGTGAGAGAACGAAACCCTAACTGAGTTCCACACGTTAAAGTTCATGCATGGAATGATCGTTTCACGTCAATAGTAAATCACAGAACCACGAGTCGATCAACCGCGAACCTTCCATGCCCAGCAGCGTCAAAGGGCGACAAGATATCCACCGAAGGATTGAGGGGACCGGCGGCCTGAGCCCCGGCGGAGAAGAACCTCGCGGAGACTATCTTCCCATTGCATGAGATTGCGGGGAACAGCGGGCCCGTCTCGCACGCGCCGGAGAATCGGGAGGTACGGTTCGAGGGCGGGAGGCCGGCGTTCGCGAAGCTCGGGTGCAACGGGTTGATCCCAGTGTCGACGAAGCCGAGGACGATGCCCTCGCCGGCGTTTCTCGGCCCGCCTTGCTGCCTCCAAGCTCCTTGGTGCAACCCCAGGAATTGAGGGGTGTAGGTGGTCATCAGCTTGGCTCCTCGGTCTCTCTCCACGAGCCTCACTCCTGGAGTTTCTTTGAGCCTCTTCGCCTGATGGTGGATCATGAACAGAGTCAGAAATCGGTACCGTTTCGTTCTTTTCTCGTTTCTTCTTCTTCTTCGTTCTCTGAAAAGTAGCGGCATGCGGAGAGAAATGATCTCGGAATCGGAATTAATGCCCAGATATCATTTGTTCAATGGAGTCTTGTACGTGACGCGACGACTGGATTCAGTCACTCACAGTGCCAAAAAGTATAATGAGTTCATCGTTTTAGAGTGTTTATCAATGCTCATCAATGGTGTTTGATTAAACTGAGTTCATCAGTGCTTATCAATGGCTTTTATTAATGCTTCTTCGACCACAGGATGATAAAAAGCAACATAAGATTGGCTAAAATTTTCCAGAATAACTGACTTTCATCTGGGGTCACATGATAAAGGAGAATTATAAGATGGTAAAGATGAAGGAACCTATCATGACCTGAGATTCTGTAATGTGGACGGAGAAGCCATTGATGACATGGTTGAAGCTGTACAGCTTCTTGTAGCTTCCAGTCTCCAAAACACTTCGCAGAAGTTGGTCGTGAGAATCCACTAGGCGCTTTGCGTGGGCCCTCGACACTTCCCTGAGGATCATTCACAAAACGAACAACACGCTTCATAAAAAACAAAAAGAAAATCACTTCACTTATCTAGGGCCAAAGCCTAAAGAGATAGTAAAAGGCAAGCAAACGTATCTGATCTAATGAACCTGAACCCTTTGCTGTTCATTTTGGCCGAGCAAAACTCGAGAAAGTCGATTGTCCTGCTTACCTATTCAAATTGTGCCGGCTAAACCCATGCTCATGCGAGGAAGAAACACCGGCGAAGGCAACGGGGTCTCCTTCCATTAGAGCTAAGTAAATCTCTCGCTTTTCCGCGAAACAGATCCTGAAGATCGTAGAAGCGAGAAGCACGACACCTATCCAGGTAGCAGGATTGAACCCCAGACGAGTCATGCTTGATAGTTTGCGGAAGAGAACTGTGAGAGGTTTGTGATGACGGTGGTACTAATTATTGAAAAACGGACACGCACATACACACACATACACACATACAAATATGGAGATAACTTACAGGTAGGAATTAAATGCTTATTCACAAGCTAAATGTGAAGAAAGTTGTTGAATTGCATAATATAAGTTAGGACGGTTACGGTTCACGAATTTCAGTTTAACGTACGCAGATTGCTAAGTCGGAAGTAGGATTCAGGTCTTTTTCATGTGTTCTCATCTGCTGCGACTCTCTCTCTTTCTCTCTCCACAAGAGATGATGGCCATGGTTAAGCCAAAAATGGACTGAATTTCTATTAAATTTACTGTCAATGAAGATGTATTTCCTTAATAATGGCTGGTGTATCTCAGTATGGAGCTTAGGCCAGAGTTTCGTTTACATTTCATTATCTTTTCCTAGAGATACACGTATACAAGGCACATTACACATAAATTCACAAGTCAAAATGTGCAGCTCAATGAGTCCTTTGGAACAGTGATTCACTTTTGGCGCTGGTCCTAGACCGAGGAAAAAGGGGGCTCAGTAGAAAAGGGATAGTACACCGTACATTCACATCAATTCCAATCTTTTTGAATATTACTATAGTTTTTTTACCGATATATTTACGCATACATAATAGCTATGTTCAGATGAAACCACCGTATTCTAATAAATATGTGTGTTAGGGCCTAACAAAAATAAATACTGGAATTCAAAATCTGGAGGAATGATCATCGAGCCAACCATATTTACTGAAGATGGGAAAAGGAAAAAAGAACTGGTATTTCCTAATAATTTCTGATTTTCCGACCTACCTCACACCCAACTACTGCCAAAATCCAACAACTGGCTTAAACATCGAAACCTCTGATCTAGATACGGTGAAAAATACCAGATGCTAAAACCAGTTGCATGAAATATGTTAAGTGAGGAGTAATGCGAATCAAATATTACTGCAGAAACTGATCGAATGACAGTTGTTTTGGCGGTCTGAATCATTATAAATGGTGCTAAATTAGCAACAGAATTTCTCAATTGCTTTGCTTTGCTGGCCGAGTGAACCTTAGCACATAAGCATGTAATAAGTGACCAGATTGATGAAGACATGAGCTTCACATAAGCTTAATAAACATTTAGAAGGAAAACCGGGTATTCAGAGTTTTTACCACTCCACACGGTTCGACTCCAAACGAAGTAGAGCAACTCCAAAAACCAATTTTTCTCCCTGGACACACTACGGATTACATCACGACTCCTAAAACTAGCGCAGATACATCTATACTATGACACGCACGCAAATCACTAACATCATCCCGTCAGACCATGGTACGCAGCACTGTACACATCATACAACGGCTAGGTACTAATTCTGCAAATAATAACAGTGATGGCTTGTCATCCAGCAGCAACTGCCATGTCCAGGTGACATCTCACCTTCATCTCTTCCGCCGCTTGGAGTCAACCTGTATACAGTTAGCCCCATTGATAAATCAACCTATCTTTGAGATTAGCTAAAAACTATCGTTATGAAAGGATCACCTGGCAAGAGCATATAAATCCTTTTGCATACAAGAATACATGACATGCTAACTACAGTACTTGTATCAATATGATGCATCAAAGCAAATCCTCCAGCCTAATCTCAAGGAAATAGGGTCCACGACACCATTCATGCTGATAAAAGATATGTGGAATCAATGAGTAAATACACGGGGAAGCAAACAGAACTGGGGATGAAGGGATTCAATGAAATTATGCATACATAGTGGTACAATGGTTTATGATGGGTTAAACAAAGAGAAAACCAAGACAGATCATTCTTCCAAAGAGAAACCAAAACAGCAAGTAGCTTCCCCCATCTACAATATGTAGTAGAATGATTTAATGGGCTGTCCAGCAAAACCCAGTACTTGTACATTAACTTAATAAAGTAGCTACGGTATATCGATTATGAAACAGCAATATGCATAAGCATGAACACAATTCTACTATCTTCTATCTCACAACTTCATAGTCCCATAATTACATTTACCGCAACACCTATGCCAGCTCATCACAATATCATGCAAAAAATATTGGCGAGACATGTATGTAGGAAGTAAAATCATGAAAATGAAAATATGGGGCACATATATTCTGTTATTACAAAAGCTGGAACAAGGATCATATTGAACTGCACCGGGAAAAACTTTCTTTAAATTTTGCAGGAAGTACACTTGTTCAATTCGAATCCAGATAAAGTCATACTTGTTGATTTTTTACACAATCCACATTAAGGTGTTGAGAACAGTGTATTACAAGCTACACATCTAATAAATTAACCCACATCCAACATTGCATTTTTTACACAATCCACATTAAGGTGTTGAGAACAGTGTATTACAAGCTACACATCTAATAAATTAACCCACATCCAACATTGCATGAATCTTCACTCTTAAGCCGTCTACATAAACCTATATTGATTAGGTCTAGGACCTATAAGTGAACTTTGATCTCGAATTATTCTGCTATAGATCAAGGAAATCCTTTTAATGGTTTGTTGTCAAGTTAGAGAAAAGTCAAGGCACACAGTCTTCCAACCAAAAAAAAAAAAAGACACACAGTCTTAAATTCAAGTGAAGTGAATACGAATCAGGGTAATGCACAGCCTCGAAGATTGTTCGAGGACAAACTAGCACCCGAACACTCTTGAACGCTCAAGAATCTCAATTTACTTGTCATTTGACAAAGAATGAGACTATAGAAAGGACAGAACAGAATGAGCCCTACAAGGAAATAGCAAAAATATCTTCACCATATATTTAGAGGATCAACTCTGTTTTTCCCCCCTACTAATTAGAAAAGATCAAAATTAAAAGGGGACAGAAAGAGATTAAGGGATAAAATAAACTCAATATCAGTGCTATGTTAGCTATAGTATAACTCTTGCCATTTCCTGAATCTTTCCAAGATATCCATCCTTGTAGTCAGTTTACATTAAGTACACCTGCTTCTTTACCGAGGAGAATCCATGTTCTGCATTATGATATAAATGCAGCCAATAAACAAAAGTCGACAGTATTAAAAAACAGCTTATCAGTATCATGAATTTGATGGAAGGAATTATGCAACGTACATGATAAGCAACACGAATGTGTTATAGTTCAAAGGGCATAATCACACTCTGAATTTTAATAAGTAAATATGTTTTGCAATCACGGTTTCCCTCCCTTCACTCACTGTCCCAAAAACTATCCAAATCATGACTGGCCATTTTTGGTGGCACTACTTGATCAAAGAAACTGTTCCTCCTAAGACATGTATACAACTCAACCTCGAAAATCAAGCATTACAAGAAGCATTACTTGTAATAAATCATAGGCAAATGCTGCCACAAAAAGTCCCTCTTTAAGTTCTTAATTAAGATTGTGTGGACAAGATAGGTCCAATAAATAAGGTCTCTTAAAGTCTTCAATATCTCAGCAAAAACATTTTCAGAAGCATCAGGTGCATATTTGTAAGATGTTAAAGTTATGCTTGGGACCTTAAGAAGCAGAGGGGAAATGGGGTGAAAAGTGAGAACGGATCGATTACTTGCAAAGAATCATAAGCCAATGCTGCCATAAACATGCCAAGAGAGATGCTGTACATAAGGGCTCGTAATGTCTTCAATATCTCATTAAACACTAATTCAAAAGCATCAGGTGCAGATTTCTGTCAAGTTAAAGTTATGCCTGAAAATCTTGAGAAGGAAAGCAAAAAGGGTGTGGAAGCAAGAGAAATTGCTTTTGGAATTAATATTTGGTATAGAATATCTGGATTTACGCAATAATCCCCCATTTGAAGGAATCCTCATGAAGAGAGGGATTAAAGAATGATCACCCTCAAAGGCTGAGAGCATAATTGGTAGTTACACTAGCCCTCCTCATTCTTTTTCATAATCAAAAGTAGTTCTTGAGTTCAATCAACACACAAATGATGAACATTATATGCCAAAAAGTTACCTTCACAAAAAAAATATTTAAAATCAGGATGAATGATAAACAGTACCCACGTACCAACCATCAGTTTCCCAGGTTCTAGCCCCCACTAGAACATCTTACACAGTCCTAAACAGACAATGGTCAACCTGGTTACTTTCGCTTGAATGTCCTTGCAGGTGAGCCTGACCATTCAAAAACAGCAGAAAGAGAGAAGGGGAAAAAAAAGGACAAGATGCAAAAACTAATATCTAAGACTCATTGAAGAAAAAAGCTCACCGAAGCTTTTCTTGCTTTCTTTTTTTTTTTTTTGAATGTTAAATAAGATTTCATTAAGAAGATACCGCCCCTATACAAAAAGGCTTCAGGTGGAAGACACCAATAACTGTTTCTAACATTTCTTATATGAGATTGATCCTACAAAACCAAAAGTGAAGACTGTACAATCAATTATCCCTAAAAGAGTCCCAAGAGGATGTAGCTCCTCGAAAAATGCCCATTTTTTCCTCTCTGTCCAAATGAGCCAAAAAAACAAGGAAAGGAATCGTCTTAAAAAATGAGGAGCCGATTTTCTTATGTTAAGGTCATGATGAAGCATCTCCTGGTCTAACTAGACAAGATAATAGTCAGTTATTTAGAAATACCAATCTTTTGGTACGAAACAAATACAGCGAAAATACAACTGATGATATTCTAAGTAATACAAACACATTCCCGGATATCTTCACTAGAGAGAATCACGTAATACAGGAGTAGGTAACAAAATAGGGAGACTTCACTAATAAAATCATGTCTGATATTTTCTGATATTGTCCACCATGATCTAATTACTTGCAAAAGCAATATATTCTTCTGTTAGAATGACCAAATTCTTCAAAAAACGTAAAAACTAAACAAAAATAAGTATATACTATAGAGGTAAAGACACCAGAGTCGTCCGGACAATAGAAGGACAATCAATCTTCAAAAAAATAGGAAGCCAGACATCCTAAATGATACATTTAGTACCCATGCCATAGAGATCAACGGATTACCCTCACATTTGAAAATAAAAAACTTTGAACTAGAAAAAAATGGAAATTTTCCAGGTACACTAGTCTTGATTTCCTTTTTCCTAAATAATGTGATATATTGAATCTTATTGCCTAAATTAAAATTTCACTACTTCCATAGCATTCTATAATGCAATTAAAATCTGCTTTCTTGAACTAGTAAATAAACGATGACAATCCTTTTATTTTTTCTAAATGGAGCGACTTTAACTAATCTTCCATTCCAAAGGTACAAGCAGTAAACTAAATCAAACAATGTATGTCTTTGACTTCTCAATGAATTTTGTTTAGCTTTGATGTGTAAACTAAATAATCCGGTGAAAAACTTTTGATCCTCACCCCACATAGACCTTAAATCAAAGCTATCCAAGCAGATTTCAAGGTCACTACCAACCAATGAAATGGGAAAACAGAGGGAAAACATAATCATCGGATTTTAGTACCAAGCACTATTACCTTTACTTCAGCTGCTGGCGATGAAGAAAATCCATTTTCTGCTCGTTTGACCTCATCATCAGAACACTCGGAGCAGACAAAGTGCTCAAGCTTTTTGGCTTCTTCAATAGTCATACCCACGCACGCTGGATGGTACCTGAGAAAAATGATGAGGGAGCACAATGAACTCTGAATTACATGAGGATACCACCAACTCTTCCATAAACAATCAATATATTGCACAATCCATGGCAGACAAGTGCAAGGAAAATTCCTCAACAGTCATCACCGTGAAAGAGCATAAGTGTCACTATATAACATCCAAAATCCAAAATTCCGAGAAGAAAATTCCATTGACATAATTCCAGAGTTTTCTCATTTGCTTTGAAAGTACAGATGTGACTACAACTATCAAACCTGCCCTACATACTCAAGCCAAAATTAAAACTTTTTTATCTTCAAGTAATTCTATCAAAAATTAGTAGCTAAGTCGCTTGTAGACAAAGAGCCTTAGACTCATTTTCCAACTCTATAAGCTCCACAAGTTATCATGCCATTGAACATTCTTATTACCTCCCAAGAAATGATCTTTTTATAATCTCCAACAAAAAAATCCACGCAACATCAGATGCAAGTTTCTCAACATTGTCAAAATATAATCGAACAACCAATTAATCTCATTGATGAGAGGCAAAGACTAAATGTATACCAGTCCTTGCATCCTTCACACTGCACCATGAGGTCATCCGGGTTATACGGCATCTCACACTTGCAGTACCTGTCAAATAAAGACATATCCAGCAAAACACATCAGCTAACAGTAAAAATCTCCAACACTATACAAAAAAAACTCCACCTTTATACGCAAACCACAAAATGATACCCAAAGAAAAAAAAAGCAAATGAAAATACTCACACAGCAACACGGTCAGGTATAAACGCCCCAGTAGCTGCCTTATACTCAAATCTACAGTAGTAATCCTCGGCTCCAACATTCTCAAGCTTCGTATAGTTCTTGAACGAATGCACGATGCATTTGCCCTCGATAGTGTGCGCGCTTTGCACATCATAGTGATCAGACAAGAACAATTCTTTAGCCCCGTGAAACTGTCTCCTCCCACCAATCGACTCCTCCGGCCTGTAATACCACCGCACCCTCACCTTCACGTTGTTCCGGGCATCGGACTCGATCTTCTCGATTCGGGCCACGTACGGGGGCTTGCCGGTGTCGGACGGGCGCATCAGCACGCAATCCCCAGCTGCACAGACACCCAAAAAGAAACACCCCACCCACATTAGCCTCAAACCCGAACCCCCCACGCGCGCGCGAAAGGAAAAAAAACACGAGCACCCAACAGCCTCCGAAGCACGAAGCCAGCGCCGCAAAAAGAAGAAAAAACGCACCGCGGACCACTTTGTTGGTGCCTCTGATGGTGTAGGAGTCAAGGTCCTTCTTCGCCGGCTTCGGCTTGGCCATGAGGCCGGGTCGGGTCTTCGCCATGGGAGCTGGGGTAGGGCTCAAATGGGTCCTCGCCGGCGCGCTCCGCCGAGGGATTCGAAGGGCGGAGGCGGCGGGCGGCGGCGGGCGGCGGAGGAGGATTGGAGGAGGGGAATGCGAGGGAGGGGAGGTCGGCGGCGATCGAGGGAACCCTAGATTTCGGGAGGAGGAAGAAGGGGAGGAGAGCAGCGCTGGTGCACGGTGGTGGTGGTGGTGGTATTCATGGACATCGGAGAAGAGAGAGAAGAGAGAGAGAGACTCATCAACCGAGTCACTGCACAAAGTCAGTCTGGCGATTTTAGTTTTGTGATTTAAATGATTATTGTCATTTACCTAATATTGCTATTTAATTCTTCTGATTTTTTGCCAAACATTGCACCATGAAAAGGTGGACTAAATGAAGTACGAGTATAGATAATTTTTTTAATTGTTCGATATGGTCCGTGACCTTTTCCGTGGTCATATGTTATTTCACATTGTCGAATAGATGATGGTGCGATTGACAACGTGGCACAATTTGGGCGATATCGTTGACGCGGTGCCACGTCGGCAATTAAGAGGGAGAATCAGGGTCCGACCTCGTTTGGGAGGTTGCGTGAGGATTCAACGGGCCTCGTTGGCCACGGGTGGGAGGGTTTGGCAACATTCGACGGGCTTCGGTGAGGATTACCGAACCCATATCTACGTAGAGGCACGAAGGGAAGGTGCAGTCTTCGCCCGCTGGCTAGAGTGCCATGACCCTTGCCAGGAGAAAATATTCTGTGGTTTATTACTACCACATCAGCTGCCGCTGAGGTGGCTAATATTTTCTACTCAATTTCAATCCCAAATTGACATCCGTTGATGTGGAACAAAAGTATAAAAAAAAATTTAGGGGGCGTTTGATAACCATTCTGTTTCCGGAAGCTGATTCTGCTAAAAAATAGTTCTTTTTTATTCCGTGCCCGGGAACAATTTATAATTATTTGAAGGCATTTGGTAACTGCACAAAATTTTCTATTCTTGAAATAGAAAAAGAATAAAAATGCATCTGGCAACTGCAGAAATTTTTTTATATTTCTTTATCTTTTTTTTTCTTTCCCTTCCCCTTCCTTGGCCATGGCCAGTCGCCAACGCCGGCGAGGGCGGCTAGCGGCCCGGGCAAGGGCTGCCCTCGGCGGCTTGGGCAAGGGTCACCCTCGCTAGATCCGGCGAGGGCGGCCCTCGCCCAGGTCGCTAATCGCCCTCACTGGATCTGGCGAGAGCAACGACAAGAGTCGCCCACTCCAGATCCGGCGAGGGCCACGACACCCTCGCCGACCCTGGCCTGTGGCCAATCGCCGGCGGCCAGCGATCAATGGCAAGCCAGGAATGAAGAAGAAGAAAAAAAAAATTCTTTTCCATTTCTGATTCGTGTTCCCTCACCTTTTGATTCTGTTCCAAAACTGATTTTAGGAATAAATTTTTGCAAATTTGTGCCCAGGAACAAAAAATTTACTAAACGGATTTCTGTTCTAAAACTGATTTTGGGAATAAAAGAACAGAAATAGTTATTATTTAACAACTTGCCAAACGCGCCCCTACACAACCATGAAAGCTTCCCCTCTATTGTGCTCGTGGTCGGCTTCGATTTCGTCCCTTGTCGCTCACCTTCTGCCATACCTTGTGGTCGGCTCGTGGTCATCCATCTTTGTCCATGGCCAAGCCACTCCTCCATCGCCATGGCGACTCAGTCCTTGCCCGTTCAGATTTAGATCGGAATCGTGCCTCCAGAGCTGCAAGCCCAGCTCATCCAAGGCTTGCGAGGCTTGTTCCTAGCTGTGAGCCTCGACGGCTAGCTCGAGATCCCGATGGCCATGGACGAAGCTCAAAATCAAGAAGAAAAACAAAGGAAGTAGAGGTCATGCTGAGGAAGACAAAGCTGACCACAAAGACGACGGAGATGACACCTGAACGCATTTGACCATGGATAGACAAGTGCCGACGATTTTGGCCATGGACAACGAGACGGAGAAAACAAAGGAAGCCTGCCATGCTCGGTTTGAACGCAGCAGTGGTCAGCCTAGTCATGGTGCCGGCGGCTCCTCTAGTGGCGACGACTAAGGAGGAGCGGAGGTCGGCGGCTATGGATGAAGGAGGAAGAGAGAGCTCAAAGGCGAAGAGAGAAGATTTTTACTTACATTCCACGTCCGTTGCTAACGTGGATCTATGAACACGTGTTAAGATGTCATTGGATATGGGTGAAAAAATATATGACATATCAGATGTTGACATGATGGTATCAAACCATTGAATATTTTCTCGCTTACCATGCTTCAGCTAGGATCGGAAGACGCTCTCAACTATCAATGGGGAGGGTCATGATCCTTGCCCCTAAAAATGACAAGGTTCTCCCGACACTTGCCTACCATTAGTAAGGGTCACGAAAGCCTCATCGCTTATCGAAGGAGGCAACCACGCCTCATACCCCTGGTGCGCGCGCTCTCTCTCTCCAAATCTGGTTTCGACGGTCCTCTCTTGAGCACAACAGAGGTCGCTTAGGCTTGCCCCTCCTTCTCTACAAATTTTTGTTTTTCTTTAAATTGTTCATGATGCACACTGTTATATAAGTTAATATTTTGGCATGTAAAGTAATGTCACATAAGCAATTTGACAATGTTTACTAATTATGACAAAGGATTTGATTGCATAAGTTGTGAAAAATAAAGGATTAGGCACAAACAACTAAGATGGGATGAATTGTTTATCATAAAAAAAAATGAGTGTAAATAGTCGGGGTGTCAATGGGTCGGGTCGGGTCGGATTTTCATGATAACCGACCCGACCCGAAATAATGGACATGTGTGCTCGGCCCGACTCGAAACAAGACCTGAACATGATATAGCCAAGTGATCGGGACGGGTCGGTCCAGGTTGGGTCGGGCCGGGTTCCGTGTTTCAAACTCAACCAAACGATTTTGTTCTTGCTTTCTCATCACCTCAAAAACCTGCCAAATTCATTCCACGCCCAAAAATGAATTTCTGATTTCCGTGCTCTCGACCCGCGCGTATGCCGACACTCCCTTCTGCTTCCTGAGTTCCTATCCTTCCGCGCCGCCCCCGTCTCCTCCGTTGCAGCACGCCGAAGATACCCCTTCCGGCGCGGCCTCGCCGGTGAAGCCTGAGCCTCCCGAGGAGGCGCGAGGTGCGGGGTCAATTCTAAACAGAAAAGCTATCTAGTGATCAATTCTAAACAGAAACAGAAACAATCGAAACAAAGCTACAAATCAATTCTAAACGAAACGAGCACGCTAACTAGTGATCACGGTCCTATTAAACAATCGAAGCAAATAGCAAAATCATTTGAAGGCACAAAGAAACTAGCAAGCAAAACCGACATTTCGGTCAAGATGTCGCGGTCAGCAAACGAAGCACGGAACGAGCCCACGAGAACGCCCAACCTGGTGGAAGCAATCGGACTCGGCGAGGGCCGGGCCGCCGAAGAGCCCGACAGAGGCGACGGCGGGGAGGTCCAGGACGCCGTCCCTGATGGCGACCCCCGGCCGCGCCGGCAAGCCGCTGTCTGGCCAAAAGACCCCGAACGGCAGGTTCTGGATCTAGAAGTGGGAGCCGGGGCCGACATCGATGAAGGACTTGAGGTCCATTGAAGCGCTGTCTCCGGAGCTCCGACGGAAGAAGGTGCTGTGTTATGTGGCGGAGAGGCTTGGAGGGAGAGAGCAAAGGAAGGCGAAGTGATATAGCATAAGAGATAGCAGAAGAGGCGAGAGAGTGAGAGAGACGTGGAAGAGAGATCTAGGGTTTCCTTGTTTGGGTTTTTCTTGTTTGGGTTGGGCTTGGGTACCCGAACCCAATAAATTCAAAACAAGACCCAATTATTTTTCTTGTTACCCAAACAAATTAAGACCCAACCCGACCCAATACGAAAATTTCCTGTTTGGATCGGGTCGGGTCGGGTCGTGTTTGGGCGGGTTCTTTTGACACCCCTACGTAGGACACCTGTTAAAGAACTCATTAAGGAAACTTTATAGCTTCCGCCTCATCGATTGTCCTCGGGTTGTGCACAATTAATGTTTTTAAATTTTAAAAATTTTAAAGTATAACTTAACAAATGCGCATGGACACTCATCGGTGCCCTTTTATTTATTAACATGTTGCTACTGAGAAGAGGAGAAATTCTATTTTTGGTAGATATAAAATAGTTTGTGCGATTCTTGATTTATAACCGTGAAATTCTTAAGTTACATTACATGAAATACAGAAGAAGAAGAAGGAGGAGGAGGAGGAAATAACGGAGCAATGAATAAAGGTTGATATGCAAAGTCATTCATGGTGGTAGTGGGCTCAGGTCCAAAAGCACTGGTGGAAAGCCCATTAGAGATAGCTCCATAAAACAGAAGCCCAAGTAACACCAAGTGAAACTAACTATTAGCCTAACTTAAAGGCTCGTTCACGTCAATTCATGTTCTTTTCTATTTTTCTATTTTTTATTTATCTTTTATGGATATTTTTGCATAGGGATAAAGCCCAAATTAATCATAGAGACGTGACCCACGGTCGCAACACTAGGAGATGATTGCACCTCTTAGCTTCATCCAAGTTTCTTAGGGATGCTGTTCAAGAACTGGCGTGCTGGGCTCTATACATTCTATGACAACTCTTATTCGCCGAGCGGTCTCCTTGCAATAAGTTCAACTTTCGATTTATATCTTTCTCTCCCTCGATCATTACTTCTAGGAAGACATGGCACCGTGCCATTTTTGGAGAAATCGGAGAAAAAAATTCAGAGAAATTTTGAGAGTAAGGGAGGAGGGATGATTTAAAAAAGTGAGCTTCTTACTTACATTTTCCTCGACTTTATGATGCTTTTGGGGACATACACAGCACGAAATTGAGGAAAAGAAGTATATAAAGCCCATCACGCATAAATGAATTGAAATCGGCATACACGAGGTGCCGCTTGTTAGGCATCACGAATTCATATTTCCAAGTAAACCACCTGAGCATCCAAGATAGATCAGCATTAAGTCCTGACCATGTAAGATTACCATTTTGTACAATGCTAATGTCCTAGAATATGATGTATCATGTTGCATTGGCCATGAGATAATCTTTGAGACAACAGTAAGAAGCGCTGAGTTATCAATCTGTAACTGGAACAAAGAACAAAAGACGAGCTTCCACTTACAAAGCCTTGCAGGGTGTTCTAAACGAGACAATGGATCTTCTTGACGAATCCCAAAGAGCTTAGGGATGAAACCCACAAGTTCCCCCATTGAGAAACACTGAGAAACCTAGCTGTATTGACACATCGCATGAAACCTAGCTGTATCGACACGCTGCGTGATGAGATGAACGATTCTTCTCAGGGAAACTGGGAATGTCCTTAGGAAATCCCACTCGATCGATATCATTAACCTTCATAATGTCCGCCTTCATAGAACACCGCGCAGGCCCCATTGGACCCACAAACAAAAGCAGCACAGCAACTAATATCGTTGGCCACAGTATGAACAGAAAGATGAATCGATCGAGAAACAACCCGAAGCACAAAAACACTGGCCTCTTTCGGATTCCAAGACATTCAAACACATCCGTAATTCGTCCTTACCCCTACATCCTCAAAAATCTGTGTTTGAGTAAATTACTCGCACATCTCCACTCCCACCTATTTCGAAAAATAATTTGGTTTGCTTTACGCAGAGACCATTTATCAGGGAAAATTGTCAAAAAAGTCCTAAATCTATTGTACGGCGGCCAATTCAGTCCTAAACCTTTTAAGTTTGCCCATTTAGTCCTAAATCTTTTAAATTCTTGTCAATTCAGTCCTTCCGGCCAATTTTGGCCGGCCGGCGTTGACGTGGCCGCCGGCCGGCGCTGACGTGGCAATTTTTAATTATTTTTTTTCAATTTTTAAAATTTGTCTTTTCTTTTTTTTCTGCTTTCTTCCCTCTGGCCGGTCCGGCGACCGGTGGCCGGCCAAAGGGGAGGGCCGGCGAGGTCAACCTCGCCGGCCTCTGGCGACGCCTGGGTCGCGACGGCGTGGCGAGGCCGACCTCGCCACGCCCAGCAGAGGCGAGGTCGAGCCTCGCCGTCGCCCGGGTCGCGACGGCGAGGCACGGCCGGAGGAAAAGGGCGTCGCCGGGTCGCGACGGCGTGGCGAGGCCGACCTCGCCACGCCCAGCAGAGGCGAGGTCGAGCCTTGCCGTCGCCGGGTTGCGACGGTGAGGCTCGACCTCGCCTCTGCCGGGCGAGGCAAGGTCGGCCGCTCCTCGCCGTCGCCCTGGTTCGCGACGGCGAGGCGCGGCCGACCTCGCCTCGCCCAACGGATGCAAGGTCGAGCCTCGCCGTCGCGACCCGGGCGATGGCGAGGTGAGGCCCGCCTCGCCTCACCCAACGGGAGGCAACGGCGAGGCGAGGCCCGCCTCGCCTCACCCAGCGGAGGCAACGGCGAGGCGAGGCCCGCCTCGCCTCAGTCGCGACGCGAGGCGAGGTCGAGCCTCGCCGTCGCCCGGGTCGCGACGGCGAGGCGAGGTCGGCCTCGCCTCGCCGTCGCGAACCGGGAGACGGCGGCGCGGCCGACCTCGCCTCGCCACGCCGGGGCGGCGAGGCTCGCCCTCGCCGGTGGCAGGCGGGGCGAGCTACGCCGGAGGCCGGCGAGGTCGACCTCGCCGGCCCTCCCCTCTGGCCGGTCGCCGGACCGGCCAGAGGGAAGAAAGCAGAAAAAAAAAAGATTAAAAAATTAAAAAATTGAAAAAAAAATAATTAAAAATTGCCACGTCAGCGTTGACCGGACGGCCAGCGGCCACGTCAGCGCCGGCCGGCCAAAATTGGCCGGAAGGACTGAATTGGCAAGAATTTAAAAGGTTTAGGACTGAATTGGCAAACTTAAAAGGTTTAGGACTGAATTGGCCGCCGTACAATAGGTTTAGGACTTTTTTGACAATTTTCCCCCATTTATCATCCTTAAGATGTACGATGAGATATATTTTTGATGATTAAATGGCTATTTGGATCACATCAACATGCTTGAAGGTGTTAAAAATTAAAAACTCGTACCCATAATAGCTCATTGTGCACTTATTAGTTACATAAGGTTTTGACAGACGTTAGAACACCGCCATATGATGCTTTTGTTTGATGCACCTCTTATAAGTTAAGTTCACTAAGTGCAATACCATAAACAAAACCTACACTCGCATCACTAATGCAATCACCGCACAAGGATCTTATCTAATTTTCAGTTATGGCGTAAGCTAGCTAATGGGACTCGCGAAATTTGAAGCTTACGATATGCTTATCCTCACCAATGTTACCTTAAACATAATGTCTGAATTCATCCGTGCCAAAGCCACGAAACTAACCAGCCATACATGGAACACCAAATATAGCTAACAGGTCATAATCTTATCGAATGTTATCGAGTGTTTCCATGTGCCACAAACCGACACGCTACATAGTATACTTATAAGCTTCACAACTTGCCATCAAATGATTAGGTGGTCTGCAACACTCAGAAAGAGCACATTTAGAGCTCATAATGACATTAGGGTCGAATAATATTAGCAATATCAACCATCGACTTCAAAGCAAGGTCGGAGAGATGTCCATGGGAAAGGGATTGCCAAGTACGTTGTCCATGTAGTAATGAGGGTGAGTGGCATCCATCACCACGAATTGCATGTCTTCCGATGGCTTCCAGTGCCTCTTTCTTTGGTTGATGAACCAGTTGTTGATTTGCTTCTGATCTAGCCCGGTTGATTCCGCTAGAGCCAGTTTCTGTGATTCCTGTCATTTCGAATAAGACCCGAGAGAAATTTCAAATACCTAGTGATGCAAAATGAGGTGACTTAGGTGCACGGAGTCTAGAGCAATTGGCATTGACGAGCAAATTATGCATACAGACCCAATATCAGGGTGAGGCAGAACACTTGATTTATGCATGTCAAGAAGGGTTTCATTTGTTTGTCATATATCAGCAGGAAAAAAATTCTGCCGGTAAAATGAGGTCGTTTATAACCCATAACTAAATAAATCACACCAAGTGGCGGTGCTATCTCAACTATTCGAGGTGATGTTTTCATTGAATCCAACATCTCCAGTCTACATTATCAGGGTATCTGCACCAAATGAGTACAATCACACAAATTGAAACATTAGAACTTTCGTAAAGAATTTTTTTTAAAGAAATATTGTGAAGTACACAGCCAACGCAAAGAATTATTTTTCCAATTGTAAGGACGTCACATGGACAGGGAAAATAACATTTCTGAGAGCCATAGGCAACAGATTAATCAAAGAAGGACATTTCATCTCAGCCATACCATATTAGTCAATATGACAACCATTATGCTTGTTTTATCATATGAATATCCATTTGGAAGAACTTTCTTTCTTAAGGGTCATTAAGAAGAATGGTGGAGTTGAAGAGTGCAGATGAATACCGATGGGTAAGGCCATTTGTAGTGTCGACTCCACCAATCAAGCAATTGTTGCCGGGCCTCTTTTGGGAGCTTCCCCTTCTTCCTCTTTTTCATGAACTCCTGCTTGAGGCTACCGAGATATCCGCTGTACTTCCGCAAGAGCTGAGTCTTGAGCTCTCTGTCCTCTGCTTGGGGGTCAATGAAGTTGTTCACATCATCTTCTTCGGATGACCCATTCCTATCAAAAGTCTCACTCAATGCCACTGGCAACATGAACAAGCACAGTAAGCATTTTGTGAAGTCTATGTCGCAATATGATACAAATCACAGCATGCATTGGTAACAACAGATTTGTAACTGGGTAAGAAAAAATTTAATAGCACATTGCACAAGATCAAGAATATATCGCATCACATTCAGTGGTGTTTATTGGGTATTTCAACAAGTTACTAATTTATAGTATACACAAGTACCTTGACCTTTGATAGGGTTTCTCTGGAAGAAAATCTTCAATGGGCCAACAAAAATTAGTCCAAAGTGGTTACCATGGTTCAGATTTAAATCGACTTATCAAGTGAATCATCCAATAATCCATTCTATCATTAGTTACGCTTTTTCCTTCTATAAGAGACAATTCATGCGGGTATCATATGCAGGCACACATTAATAACATCAATTTAACTTTTTATTTCCACTATTAGGAACTAGGAACTTCCGAGCATAATGTGTACATTATGTACTTTAGTTTGATCTTACATGCATATTTTGATGATACCAAACTAAAGTACATAATGTACATATTATATAGATAGCGATGGTACGCCTCATGCCGCATAGTGGCAAGCCCGACCAAGTGATGCAAAAGTATTACATACATACTTATATAAAAAGGAAATAGGAAGGTCAAGAAATACATAATGCGCGACTTCTAGAATTTCCTCTCAAAGTAACTACAACACAAACTAATCGTTCGATGTGTCGTCATAAAAAATCAAACGCTTTATAGTCTAATACAAGGCTTCTAACCTATTCAGTCAGATATTTTCCTTTATATGTGATAACAAGAAATGCTAATTCAATTATTTTCGATCACATGTTCAGCGACTATGCCAAGAGTAATTAGTGCATTTCAAACATTTTAAGTTCCTCTTAGACCATGTTATAATGGACCGCCAAAGGTTTTAGTAAAGTTGAGAGAGAGAGAAAGAGAGAGTCCTTGACAGAAAGTAAGGCAATCATTATGCATGACAAAAATCCAACATCATATATACATCATCGCATGATTGGTACTCTACATGAAATGAGAGCTTGAGACACTAAAATTAACATCAAGCAATTTCCTAGTACAAGAGTTGGCCAACTGATTGTTTCACTTATACATTTTAATTGTCAAAAAAAGTTACACAATGCGTATATCTACAGCCTGGAAGGGGAAATTGAGGCTGTTCCCACAAATGTAAGATCATGTTGTGGTAATGTTCAGGAAGGAAAAGTAAATTACCTAGGTTATATTGTTGCCATCGAACTTGCCTTATTTTCCTTGGGATATCTAATCCGCAGGCTACTGTATTTTAGGATTTAAATCTAAAACACCAGTTTTGCAATAAATTTGTCCCACAACCAGACTATAAAGGAATAATTCTTCTATGAAGAGGATGAATGCAATTGATAAAACCAAAAGGTATGTGTCTCCATCTAAAAACTGCTTAAGGACATACATTTTTCCACCATTGGAAACAAAGTGAAAGTCCAAAATAGTTTTCGTGCAAATCCTTTCCCACTAATTGTGCTTAAACCCTAATTAAGGTCTGCTCGAGTGGCTCAGAGATCTACTAAAAAGTCCTTTGCACCACATACAAAAATTACAAAGCGTCTTGGTTTTGGAAATCAAACCTAAAGCTAAAGCATAAAGCTATGGCATGTTTGGTTTGGAGTTAAGCCAAACAAAAAGCTCCATCACAGTTTTCCATAATAATGAAAATAAATCATAAAGAATTATGAAAAAACATTTGGGTGAATTATACATATACATGTATACTTTTTTAATATTAGAGACGTTCAACATTAAATAAAAGTTAATACTCAAAAGCCAAAGCGATGCCGAAAACCCAGGAAGAGGGTGGTTAGCGGTGTCCCCTTTAGCTTTTGATTTTTAGGTCAAAGATCATGCTTCTATTTACTATTAATCGCCTCAAATATTTATAGTACTAGCTTATAAATCACCTAAAACCATTTAATAACAGATTACACACCCCCAAAAAGACAAAATGCACACCCCTTAGACAAAATATACAAAATCTTATGTGCTAAATAATGACTTTTTGTGGTTGTTAGTGTAGAAATAACAAATGATTGGGTGACTCGTTAGGATTATGTATACCAGTTTTGCTAACATTTTGCATGTCTAGCATTACTCTATTAGAAAATTAAGTGAACCATGCAGAAAGACCTTGTCATCGAGATCAAATTTGTTATTGTGTATGCTGAGCAATGTTTCATAATTTTATATTCAGATTTCAGACAGATCTTCCTTTCCAAGGCTCAACCTGCAACAATGAGACTTGTGAAATAAAACCGTAAGTAGCATAAAACAAGTCATCAATGAGGTTGCAATATTTGACAGAAACTAAGACGAAAAACTCATTGTACATGCAAACACTGAGAAGACCCTGCATTAAGAAAAAGTTAAAAATTCAAATAAATTTCACTTATCTGAAGAAATGAACTCGATGAGATTAGAGACTTGCATCAATCACATTGAAAAGAGTAAATGTGAAGGACACACCAAAGCGCAGGACAGTAACTGATGATCCTTCATAGAATCTTCTATGCCATTTGCACCAAATACAAACTAAACTTCGTAAATGGAGAACATCTTTGTGCCAAAAATTGCTATGTCATTTAACACCGCAATGAGTGTGTCAGCAAAAGTGCACAAATTGTCCTGGCACATGTAAATTCATCAACGGAACCGATCTTGAAACTGAGTGTAAAATTGGATATAAACAGATGGCTTAAAAGAAGCTGCTGACTTATAAATGGAACTCTAGGCTGTCTCAAGGTTCACACAGGCGCAACGAAGCATAAGTCAAAATTACAAAAGATTTTCCCGAGCACATAATAGTATACCATTGATGATGAACAAAAAATAGTGCATTTCGAAATTTATTAATTGTGCGTGCAATTGAGAGAACGTAGATCATCCAAAATTGAGATGTTGTACCCTATTATAATGTGTGTATTGGGAAGCCATTGGATGCGCGACGAACATGTAGAAGAAATATTTGAACAATTTTTTGTTCTAAGTATATATACATGTGTATCTACATATATCCAACTATGAATGAGATGCCAAAGGTATAATTGAACAGTTCCTAAGAGCGTGAAGAGAAAAGGTCCACAGGAGCTTAAAAGATCAGCAAAGCTACACATATGAGGGCATTCAAGAGTAGAATAACAAGAGGCAATTTAAACGGAATTTGTCAAAGAAATTCAGAGCAAGCATTCACTCTCAATTGATCCAAACCCTAAATATATGGAAACCCTAGATCAAATTAACTTTTGCTAACTCATATCTACTCACTGCGAAATCAATGAGCATATATAAGGAATCTTTGTTTTGTTCAGATATTTTATTCTAACGTGCTTACCCATCAGAGAACCAAATGTTATTTCTAGAAAATTGACATCGTTGACATGAAAAATCCCCCAAGTTTTAGCCATTTTGAATTAACCGATCATATATAGTTCATGTAAAACTGGAGAACAAGCAAAATATTTCCTATTCCCAAGATAACTAAAAAAGTGCAATACGAAAGGCCAACATAGAACAACTAAATAGTCATTAATAGTATATTGGAGAATGCACGAGAACAAAGAGAAAACCACATTATACACACAAATTCCAAGAAGAGAGAGATAGCAGTAACAGTTGTTGTGCCGTTCCTCTTCATTCCATGAAGAGAAACATCGTACATTAAATAGGAAAAAGGCCTAGTACACGCACAAAAGCAAAGTTATATAACCGAGAACAAAAGGCCAATTCTGAGAAGCATATTAACCAGAGAGCAAAAGCACACTGTAAGAAGAAGAACAAAGAAACCACCATTTTTGAAAACCGAGCTTTTCCTAGTTCCCATACGCATCTTCACAGTTCACATGCATGGGGGTTTAAACATGAAAACCAAATCAAAATGGGGAAAGAAAAAAAGACGACATCCCCAAATCTAGTTCGTGACTGTTTCCAAGTAAAAGCTTGAGTTAGGTTCATATCCCAACCTCTAAAGATACAAGTTAGAGCGACAATTTGCAAATAAGAAGATAGGTAGATTAGTACCAGAATCAGAAGGAACGCCAAGAGTGAGGGCTTTGAATTGGCACTCGATCCTCTGGAGGAAGAGCATGGCCTCTTTGAAGGGTTTGGAGAGTTCTTGCTCATACTTGGTCAGCATCTCACAGTAGGCCTCCATGAACTGGTCAAGAGCTGGGTCTTCACCAATGCAACCTGTGTTGCTCATGCCGGTGTTCCCGGCCATTATCGCAGCCGACGCACACGCTTCCTCTAGCTTTGCCACCACCCCAGGAGGAGCTCCCACCTATATGTTGGTTATAATTTAACGCCATAATAATACAACACTTCTTAAGGTAACTGTGGAGATTTTCTTGTCAAGATCACCCAAAAGGGTCTCTATGAAAAAAAAAATTCACTTCGAACTTCAAAGGGTTTTCTTTCATTTTGCTAAACAACCACGCAGGTATTGTTACTACAACTATATATTATACAAGAAAGAGAAGGCAAAAGAAATTGTCTATCAGGGAAAGTAATGAACTACGTTCTTCGAGATATGACTGCCAACTGCTTTCACAAATAAATTCTTCAAAGAGGGGAAAAAATGCAAAAAGAAACAACAACTACTAACCCTATCAAGTCATGGTCGTCCCAGTTTGACTAAATTAACACCCGTAAAAGAAATAAGAAAAGGAAAAGCCATGCTTGAGTGTGACAGAAAGAACTCCTTTTTTTTCCCCTCCTCGGGTCCTTATCTTTTCTCTTTTACTTGTTTTTGAGGAGACAATTAGCTTCTTTTCTCACTGGTATGAACATCTGAACAAAGAACGAGCATAGCCAGAGAGCGAGTGGGAGAAAGTAGGGTTTTACGCTTTTCTTTCACCTTCTGACAATTGACATAAGCTGAGAGAAGGCGGTGGTAGTGAGGATGAGCCATGATCTTGGCCTTGACATCGTTGTCCATGAAGAAACAACCTGAGCCTGAGCCTGAGCCTGAACCACCTGCGTTGTTGTTGCTATTGTTGTTGTTGCGGTCGTCAAGAATCGGAGAAGAACCGCTGCTGCTATTACGAGCTGTTTGGTCAAGAAAGTACTGGTGGGTGCTTGTGTTTAGGTTTTGATGATGGTGATGGTGATGATGATGTTGATGATGGGGATGGGGATGGGATGATGAGGTGATGGTGTTGATGGGCATCATCATCATCATCATTGGGCATAGCCCATCACCATTACCACTGTGGTGACTGTTCTCTCCAAAAGCCATCAAACAGGAAGACGAATTAGTGCTGTTTGGACCACCCTCCATTCTCTCTCTCTCTCTCTCTCTCTCTCTCTCTCTCTCTCGTTACTAACCTTGTTCAATAGCGTATGGCCTGATGCAAAACCCCTTTTCTTCTCTCTCTCTCTCTCTCTCTAAGCTCTCTCTCCCTCTAGAGAACGAAAGAGTGATGATGAGATCCTTTATGTGTGTGAGTTTTAGCTGCTTTAAAAAGACTGTAAGTGCGAGTGAAACAAACAACACCCAGTTTGGTCTCCCGAGTTTTGTGCTTACACAAAGTTCAGGCCTTTTCACAGAAGAAAGAGAGAAGGGGAAAAAACATAAAATCCATAAAATAATGGCCCTCCTTTCTAGTGGGTCGTCAGTTTTATACATGCACTTATATCAGCATAAACACCCCTCTCTCTCTCTCTCTCTCTCTCTCTCTGAGGGCATAGCCTGCTCAAAATATTTTTCCCTGCTCAAAATATTTTTCTTTCGATGGGGGAGCGTTCTTTATTTTTTCTTTCACTGCATCATCGTCTCTCTCTCTCTGTGTCTGCTTGTTCACAGCATTAATCTCTCTCTCATCTCTGTTGTACTCTCTCTCTCTATCTCTGTGTGGGCAGTTTTTGATTGAGAGAGAGAAAGAGAGATGAAAATGCACGCGTTTTGGGTAAGAGGAAGGAGGAGGGTTACTTATCTTGAGGGGCTTTTTATTACCTTCCCGATGAAAACTCTCCCTCTCTCTCTCTCTATGTTTGCCAGTTAAATTTGCCAGTGTATCAGTGGCAGTGCAAGAAAAGAGGGTGAGAGAGGGAGAGAATTTTTTCTTTATGGAAATAAATAAAAGCAAATTAAGCAAGAGAGAGAGAAAGGAACGATCAAATCGAGGGAAGAGCCAAAGAAGAAACAGGGATAACTATTCATGGATGATGGAGGGGAAAGGTTCTTTGGGCACGGAAGAATCACACACAAGCTCTATCTCTCTCTCTCTCTGTTTTTTCGTCACAGTGGTGTTTCTTACAACTGGGGTTTTGATTTTGCAATCTGCTGTCCACTCATTTAATATTCTTTCTCACTGATAAATGTTGTCTTCTTCCATCCCACAAGATTTGTATTCTCTTCTTTTCCTTCTAAGATGGCTCCTTTCTCTTTTCATGTGATTGATCTCCTGTGTCGTAGCGGCTGTGTACATGGGGCCTGGGGGGTTTCTTTCTACATCTAGCAACCTGGTTTTTGGTTAGGATGCAACCCATTGTTTTATGGTTTTGAGGGCTTTCTAAAAAATATTGATACGTTGTGATAGATAAAGTGAACCGATTCATAATATATTGTATTATACATCCATGTCAATTGATTGTCTTACCAACAGTCTCCTTCTATGAAATTTTAGAGGAGTCTTTTCAATGGCCTCATGGCCATATAGAAATCTATGGGTTCAGTAACAAATGTTGCTAGACACTGAAACATTCAAGAAATTGCTTGCATATACTATTATGAAATACTGACTATTACAAAATACTATCAGGTGAGAATAACTGTCACTTTATTCGACTATATTTATTTTTCGAGAAACAACTTATCTTGTTCATGTCTCTTTTACTGATCATGATCAAAACTATGGACGGTATCATGGTTCTCCTCCGTCTACACACTTTTCAATTTCTTGTCCAAACTCCAACACCTTAAAACTACCTTTGAGTTTGAGAAGAGATGTTAACAGATAATGTAGGATAATCTTGGAACAATGATATCTATGGGCTTCTTTTAACATTATTGGTAGTAGTATGTACATTCTTTCTGATTCGTTTGAGCCTATAAATAGGGGACAAGTTGTAATATTGAAAATATACAATTCCTTTCCTAGTGTCATATTTCTAACTTTAAGCAAGCTAAAGAAATATGTATTCTTCTTGAATACATAAATGTAAGCAAGCTTAAGCAAGTTAAGTAGGTCCATAATATTCAATAAGACATGTATACAATACGTAAATGTATTTTTGTCTAGCCTAATCATATCTGTTATCAAAAGTCAAGCCATCTATACACGAAGATCCAACGTGTCGTATGCAACTTGACCCTTTTAACTTATTTATGTGACATGGCTAAACCACTTGAGGCTTAAAGAGTGGATTAGTTGACGGGTGTGAAACCTATCTAGCTAGCACATTTGGATACATTTATACTTGCCTAAGCCTCAAGTGGACATGTTCAAATACATTTGGATACATTTATACTTGCTTTAGTATATTTTACATGTTTATATATGAGTAAAAATATCTCAAACGTGTCATGTTTGATGTTAGAACCTAAACATAATATGGCGGGATTATGGCATGAAAATAAAGATTGCCAACTTAATTCTAACTTAACCACAAGCAAATGAAATCTTAGAAATGACTTCTGGTCCATTATATGACATTTTTAATAGAGATACTCCTATTTTTATGGGTGTTTTTTTCCAAATGCCTTAAATAACCTCTTCTCGGGAAAGAACATTTATGGTGGACTAAATGCAATAACTAATGAGTTTTTCAATAAGAAGAATCGAATGTTAAACATTGCACTGACAAGTAAAATAACTTTTACTACTTTCAGTTTCTTTCCAAGCTCCTGAGATCAAAATATGTACTTTATATAATTATTAAAAACTAAATAACTCTACTCCGTACCCCGGATATTTCATTACAGGCGTTCAATACGAGACAAAATAAAATTTCACGTGCTATCAAAAATAAAAATTTAAAACTTAAAAATATATGTTATATAAGAATACTGACACCGTCTTCACCTGAGATTTGAAAAGAGATGGATCACACTCATTATTAGTCTTCTCGTCCCATAGCATCCAATCTTTGCAATTATTTACCATAGGAAAAGACAAGGGTGGGGTTTCAGCTAAAGGAAAAAGCTGGTAAAGAGAGTGGGACACTCCGAATGTCTCTTCAATCTACCTATCCTTCTACACTCCTCAGTCATGTAGCCTGTCCCTCTTCCTTTTCTCCATTTCTTTTTACATTATCAATCCATTTTCTATCTCGTATGATGAAATAGGTATTAGTAAGTTGGAAAGCTCTTCATGCAACTCCCCAGAAGAAGAAATGTCATCCAGCATGATAGAAATTTCTACTCAAAAAGATAACTGGAAGAGATAAGAGATTACATGATTATAAAATTCAGTCGAGTTTTGTAGACTGCATCTCGTGCAAATCAAACTAAGAATGACACTTAAAAAAGAAATAAAAGATCTTGTAAGATTACTACTAACAAGTTCAAAAAGTTTTGGAGATATGGTTTCATATTTAAATATCGTGATACTTTTTGTTAAGAGTAAGCTAGGATTTCATCCGAAGTTAGGATCACTAGGTTTGATGCCCTCTAGAAATTTATGGGAATGGTGCCAACTATGTGAAAAATTAAGGTATTGATAAAGAGAGATTACATGCGTAGAAAATTCAACCAAATCTCACGGAAAAGGGGAAATTACCAAAAGTATTCTAAACCTATTGCACCCTTAAAAATTCAGCTTTAAACATTTCAATTGTGCCAAATTAATCCTAAACTTTTTGGACAATTTGTTAATTGAAGCCTAAACCATTTGACAATTTGCCAATTTAATTATTTCGATTAATTTTGATCGAAAAAAGCTGACATAGCAGTCTAGTCAGTGCCGACTGTCCTATGTGGCACGGCCGACGTTACCACGATCAACGCTGACATAAATAAATTTTTTGCAATTTTTTAAGAAATTTGATTTTTATTATTTTTCTTTTCTCTTTTATTTTTTCTTTTCCAACTATTGGGCGGGGTGTATGGCCCTTGCCTAGATTTGGGCTAGGGCTCGACACCTCACCCTGTTTGGGCATCGCGGCCCTCACCTGTGGTAGGCACGGGCATGGAGGCCCTTGCTTAGACTAGGCAAGGGTCGCCGGCCCTCCCCTATGGTCGACAATTTCCGCGACCTCGTGGGGCAAAAGTTGGAAATGAAAAGGGAGAAAAAAGAAAAGAATAAAAAATTCATATACATATTTTTTAAATACAAAAAGTATCCGCATCAGCGCTAACTATGCCAAGTAAGACAATTGACACTAACTAGACCGCCATATCAGCGTTTTTTGGTCAAAATTAGCCAGAATGACTAAATTGACAAATTATCAAAAAGTTTACGCTAAATTGGCAAACTGTCAAAAGGTTTAGCACTGAATTAACCAAATTAAAAGGTTTGGGACTGAATTGATACAAGTATAATAGGTTTAGGACTTTCTTGATAATTCTCCCCATAGGTAGGTGATAGGGGATGTTTTTTTTTTTGGTAAGTACTGTGATGGGGGATGTTTTCATCTCGTCTAATGTCGTTTTTGGATTTGGATCCAATCTATAATGCGAGAAAAATAACCAAACCAGTTATAAACCCACTGCACAATTGTCAATTCAGTTTTAAAATTTATAATCTTGCTAACTTAATCTAAACATTTGTGCTAAATTCCAATGTAACCATTTTGGTCAATGTTTACCAGAAATCAGAGACGTGTCCGTGTGTCACATAGAACGATCAACAATGACTAACTGGTAAGTCATTGATTTTCTAAAATTTGGCCGAAATGATTACGGTAGAATTTCACGTAAAGATTTAGGACTAAATTAACAAAATTAGAAAATTTAGAACTGAATTGATATTCGTACAATAGATTTATGATTGATTGGATAATTTCTCCCTAGAATACACGTAGTAAAACTGACTTTCGCTCATTGAGTGTAATTAATATATCCTCTTTCTTTTTTGTAAGTAGAATGTTACTTTGCAAAATTTGATTGCAAATTTCTAAATTGATCATGATGGATAATCTGTAATTGATCAAAGTAAAAGAGAATAACCCAAAATATTATCGAATTGATCCTGCCTTCTATCATGTTATATGAAAAGTCTTTTCGCATTTGGATCTATGGAAAGCATATACATACATCATAATCTATAAAGGATATAATTAACTCTTATTATATCCGATATGATTGACTTTGCCTACGAAAAGGTACATAGTGGAACACAAAGCAATAATTACGCGGTAGAAATAAGTATTTTGATATATGTAAGTCTATTATCAATCATTATATCTATATACCTATGTATATGTATCTATTTTTAACGATCGCTTTTGCGCAACAAGGGCATTCAATGTCCACAAGTGTTTTCTTTTCTACTCTATATGAACTCCAAATTTCTCAAGCTCTTTATTTTCATCATTAATGCTCCATTTGCCTCGAAACAACACAGTCCAATACGAAAATCCCAATTCGTTTGACTTTTCGCTACAATCTAATACTGTTTGAAGTGATAAGTAGTATCTGACCAAAAAAAACCAGAAGAAGTGATAAGTAGTAAACTCAACTCCACAAGAATTTCAACCAAAAAACAAACTCCACAAGAATGATAAAATATTCATAC